CTACTAGACAATACACAAGTTTGCTTCAGGTATTGCTTTTTTCTTACTTTCTGTTTTATCAAATCTAGTGAGGTATTTAGTGACATAATTTTATGTGAAATCTCTATGATTAACTATAAATCTTTGTATAAATATCCTCTAGTAGCTGTAATAATAATAAAAAAAACATAAACCCAAACCAACTATCCCATGAATTGATTATCATTTCTTAATTTATATATTATCTTAAAACATACGTACATAACTTTAATATATAGACTAAGCTGTGAAAATGATCAAAATCTTGTTCAAAATATTCACCTCTACTAACATGTTTTTAAAATTAACTTATTATTAGGAACAGAATCCTACCAAAAGTATTTTTTATATAATGCTAATATATTTGCACACATTAATAACTATCATAAATAAACAAATTAAAACTTCACTAATATTATATGCTCTGCAAATATATTGTTGGGTAATTATTTCTTAAAATTCTTTTCAGAAAAAAAAGGTGACAGAAAAGAAAATTGTAAAGATTAGAAATTTTCCCATGTATATGTTCAACATTAAAGAATAACGGTCATATGCAAATATTTAACAATTCTTTATGGGGTACTGTATTTGATGTAATAAACACCCTGATACTTTAAACAAAAGGTTTATTATAACATCTTATTAAACATAGTAAACATCAAATAGAAACATTTGTTAACAACAAATAAAACCTGTTAACAATAGGCTACAAAGATCACACATAATACAAGATTGAGAATAAAATGAGGTTTAATCAAAACAAAATGAAATGAAATGGGGTTTAACATCCTACTGTTCTGCTCCTAACCTGGGCTAATGAAGACAGGCATACACCACACAGTGTGCTATGAGGGAAATTTTGCCTGGGCAGTGGCGCTACGGACTACTCTTATATCGAATTCCAACTTCCAAGGGATCTTTTACGTGCACGCCAATGTGTACACGGGACCTCGGTTTTCCGTTCCATCCGAACGACTAGACAGCTGTCCTTGTCAGGCCCTCCATCCTGCATCACTGACAAGGGGAAACCACGCCGGAAAACCATTTCGGCTGTGTTATTTTAACATAAATCAAAGAAAAAATTAACTGTAAATATTGTAGTGTTTGTTATATGTATGAGTTGTAATAGATTAGTGAATATGAGAGGTTAGACCTACATGTACTTGAACAGCTAATCAACCGAATAATATTAATACATTGTTTACTTTAGTACTTATACTATTAACTTCATTATGCCCAAACCATAAATATCATATTTTATCAACCATAAACAAAAATAGTATTTACTCGAAAGCTAAAGATCTAATATTAAAAATAATAATGGACATTATGAAGAGTTCATTCAAAAAATACTAGGTTATATATCTTCTGTGTAGATCATAAAGGCTTTCACTGTGCATAGAGTCTAGTTTCAATACCAGACTTGGACCTAACGGGGAGTACAGTTTCCTCACACTAAGACTCCTGCACACATGTGATTTATTATAATAAAGATATACCATATGTTAATGTGGTTTATCCCAAAATGACCTAGTTTGTGTTTTGTGGACTTTAAAACCCCAACCCTCGGCTCTCTCTCCCGGTACGCCTGTATAGTCTACTAGACAATACACAAGTTTGCTTCAGGTATTGCTTTTTTCTTACTTTCTGTTTTATCAAATCTAGTGAGGTATTTAGTGACATAATTTTATGTGAAATCTCTATGATTAACTATAAATCTTTGTATAAATATCCTCTAGTAGCTGTAATAATAATAAAAAAAACATAAACCCAAACCAACTATCCCATGAATTGATTATCATTTCTTAATTTATATATTATCTTAAAACATACATAACTTTAATATATAGACTAAGCTGTGAAAATGATCAAAATCTTGTTCAAAATATTCACCTCTACTAACATGTTTTTAAAATTAACTTATTATTAGGAACAGAATCCTACCAAAAGTATTTTTTATATAATGCTAATATATTTGCACACATTAATAACTATCATAAATAAACAAATTAAAACTTCACTAATATTATATGCTCTGCAAATATATTGTTGGGTAATTATTTCTTAAAATTCTTTTCAGAAAAAAAAGGTGACAGAAAAGAAAATTGTAAAGATTAGAAATTTTCCCATGTATATGTTCAACATTAAAGAATAACGGTCATATGCAAATATTTAACAATTCTTTATGGGGTACTGTATTTGATGTAATAAACACCCTGATACTTTAAACAAAAGGTTTATTATAACATCTTATTAAACATAGTAAACATCAAATAGAAACATTTGTTAACAACAAATAAAACCTGTTAACAATAGGCTACAAAGATCACACATAATACAAGATTGAGAATAAAATGAGGTTTAATCAAAACAAAATGAAATGAAATGGGGTTTAACATCCTACTGTTCTGCTCCTAACCTGGGCTAATGAAGACAGGCATACACCACACAGTGTGCTATGAGGGAAATTTTGCCTGGGCAGTGGCGCTACGGACTACTCTTATATCGAATTCCAACTTCCAAGGGATCTTTTACGTGCACGCCAATGTGTACACGGGACCTCGGTTTTCCGTTCCATCCGAACGACTAGACAGCTGTCCTTGTCAGGCCCTCCATCCTGCATCACTGACAAGGGGAAACCACGCCGGAAAATCTGAATGAACTTTCTCGGCCAATGCAGGGATCGACCACCCGACCTCCAGGCTAGCGAGCCAGCATCTTACCCACTTAGCCACGTGATCAAAACAATACTTCAGTCATTCTGAATGTGAGGGGGAGGATTTTGCATTGTAATTTTCACCTACTCTTCTTAAAATTGAAACTGCCAAGGGTTCTTTTACTTGAACACTAGTGTGCATTTGGGGTGGTGGGGGAAAGGAGTTTTGCTTTTCTTCCATTCAGAACCACTAAACCTGCAGATGGCAACCGTGAAGGTTCTTCTCAACAAACACAAAGACTTGAACCCAGGAGATTCTAGTGACCCATCTCTCGACTACTGAGACCCCCTTCAAGACATACTCCTCGCAGTGTTTCGTTTAATTAGATCTAATCCCACTCAAACACTGCTGTATGAAAACAAATTTCTGTTCAATATTATGACTGGTCAATAGTCCAATTAATAACCAATACCTAACTCCGTAACAATATCATTTGGGTTTAAACAGAGCTCCAGATATGTTTACATAACCCGTCATGACTCACGCAATTTATTACGCCCAATTAACCAATGCATAGCAGAATATTACAGAAAAATTAATAGCGTGACAAACAAGGCTATCAAAACGCATACAATGTAAACAATACTGCTAGGAGACGAACATTTTTGCCGCTTTTAATACCTTAAATCACTGTCTAAATTTTAGGGAAGACCCCCAGATTAAACGAAGGGCTGTCATGTTGCTGTACGTAGGAGATATTTGATTGAACAGGAAGAATAGACACACTCCCTCAAAATTCACAAAATTTGTACAAAATTTACAACCCTTCTTACACCAAAATCTGATTAAATAAATGTATCAAATTTATAAGAACAGAGAGAAAAATGTCAGGTTGGCAGTTTTGGAGTCAGTGGTTATTATGTCAACTACGGTATATATATATATAATTTGGTCATGCATGTACATTGTAGGCGTACACATTCTAAGATGCTTTTTTTATTTACATTTAATGTGTTGTGTTACAGTCTAATCTAAGTAGAGCAAGAACTCAACCCTATTTAATTGAATATCATTACAAGCACACTAATCAATCCTCAATCAAACTTGAAATCCACTTTAAAATTTTGTTTACTTTTGATTAGCAAGATAATTTCTAAATTATATTTTTAACAGGCTTTACACATAAAAACCACAATTGTAACTATATTAATTGTGTTTTCTGGTGGAAATTTTAATTTCAAGGCATGTAAATTGACGGACAGGTATGTTCTCCATGTCAGTCAGAAATGGCAAGCATGATTGGAACAAGAACCCTGAAGTAAAATCATTGTATCCTTGAAATATCTATTTCAGGCATTGTTCATGTCAATTAACTACATAGTTTTATTTAGACATGAAAAATAACCTCTAGATCAATCAAGCAGGTAACCATAAATATACAATAAGAAATGAAATGAAATGAAATGGAGTTTAACGTCCTACTGTTCTGCTCCTAACCTGGGCTAATGAAGACGGGCATACGCCATACAGTGTGCTATGAGGGAAATTTTGCCCGGACAGCGGCACTACGGCCTACTCTTATATCGAATTCCAACTGCCAAGGGATCTTTTACGTGCACGCCAATGTGTACACTGGACCTCGGTTTTTCGTCCCATCCGAACGACTAGACAGCTTTCCTAGTCAGCCCCTCCGTCCTGCATCACTGACAAGGGAGAACCACGCTGGAAAATCTGGATGAACTTTCTCGGCCAATGCAGGGATCGAACACCCGACCTCCAGGCTAGCGAGCTAGCGTCTTACCCACTTAGCCACGTGATCCCCATATACAATAAGAACACCAACTGGAACATATTTGAAGATATCAAATATTCATTGTTTGTGATGATTAATTACTCATGGTCCAAGATCAGATTCAGGGTAAGGCCCAGGGTACCAGGCAATTTGTTAACCTTTTGTAAAAATTACTCAAGCGTTCCTCATGTTATACACATGTTAAATATAAATGGGATTTAACGCCCTACTGTTTTGCTCCGACTGGGCTAATGAAGACAGGACTTGTTAAATAATGAAATTTAACTAAAAATCTGTCAATTACAAAGGCTAATGGCTGGTTTCACTCTGTGTGTTGTACACTAAATGATCCCATTTGGGGTTAGTCCCACTTAGATTGTGCTTGTGGTCAAATATAAAATGGTAGAAGTGAAAATAATTCTGCTGCGGGTGAATGAAATTCAAAATCACTGACCTCTGTTCAATGCAAGGCAGCTACAAATGAAATCTTTATTTGGAGGCCTGCCATAATGGTGTAATAAAATAAAACTTACCATATTTGACTGAGTACAGGTAGATGTAATCCAGATGGAAGGAAAAAATCCCGAGCTTTTTCACCTATAAAAAATAAGATTTTGTTTCAACGCTATCCCATTTAATTACGAAATATGTGACATTCGTCTTTAATATCTAGATCGAATACATATAACTAGAAGTGAATGGAATTTACCATCTTGGCACTACAACTATTTTTCCTAGGCAGATCCAGACAAGGACCATACAAGAACTTTCTTGTGAACAGTGGACCCAATCAAGGCTGTATTAACAGCATTATAGGCCCCCAGGCAAAGCAGTGCACTGGGGCCCTACCTACACAATCACTGACAGGAAGAACAAGCCAACAGTGAGATTAATGTCCCCTGTCAAAATCCCAAAATAAACAGATGACACATATTAATTAATTACACATTTATCTTTTTTCAAAAGTATGGAGTAATCAAACTGATTATCTGTGCTTAGTCTAATCATAAAATATTCACAGTCAAACTCAGTCAGATTTTGAAGTACCTGGTGGTGAAACTATACACTAATATAAGTTTTATCACTCTCCATCAGTTAGAATCAAAGTTATCTTGTCCAAAAGCATCGGCCAGTGGGAAATATTAATCATTTGCCTAATGAACATTACATATACAGCTCAATTAAAAGCAGAGTGGTTGTGTTCCAAAGGCAGAAATGATGCCGTATAAAAATAATGATTATCATGTCAGTGTCAAAATAACAATGTTATTTCTACCTTGGCACATTATGTTTATTCAGGCTCATTTCTGGGACAACCATAATATGTTTTTACAAAGTTATAACTTATAATCTTCCCAAATTATCTTTTATATGCAATCCCCCCTAATCTGTACACAGTACCACACAATCTAATCATACCCTGTGGGGTATCTACAGATATTAACAAATATCACAAAATGTGGGTGTATAAAACATCACAAATGTGGGCATATAAATCATATCACAAATGTGGGCATATAAAACATATCACAAATGTGGGTGTATAAAACATATCACAAATGAAGTGGAATATACATAAACTTACCAATAAGATAGCCATCAACAGGACCTTGACTATAGAACAGTGAAGAATATAATATTCTAGCATCTTGATTGACGGTACTCCATTCAGACTTTTCTAAAATGACAAATAGAAGGTCTATCATATACAAATGAAAAATATCAAAAAATAATGCTAATGTAATATATTTACTGTAAGAAGATCTTCATACAAATTTTTCATCTGGGTGAGGGAGAAGGGATGGTCATTAAAAATATATTGTGACATATTTGTTATGCTAATCGATAATTCAAACTGAACTAACAACACCAAGATTAGCACAGAGTCTCTGCTTTAATACATTATAGTATGTTTGTTAAATATATTTACCACTTGAACAGAGGAATTAATTTGAAAAACAAGATTGTAAAAAGCTAGTTTACATAACCCTTATAATAATCAAAAACACAACACAGTTTATATGGAATAATCATTTGGGATATATTTTCTACTTAAAGATGTATCCCCACAAAAGTATTTATCAGATGGTTATTTCCGATAAAAGTATGGTAATTTTGGTATATATGGAAAGTAGAGACACCCAATCTTAGAAAAATACTGGATTCTCTGAAAAACATCCACAGAACAAAAATGAGAGGGTGTCAGTAATTGTCAGTCTGACGATTGGGGCTGTCTGCTCAAGGGACGTCAAAGGTTCCACGCGTAGATTGTCTAACCTGTTTTCATTAGGGAACTCTTTAATGTATATGTCAATATTTAAGGTATATGAACAGTGATTGAAGACACATCGTCTTTCATATGCAATGAATTCTCCTTTGGCTTGGCTGGCTTGGCAAACTTCCGCGACAGCCAAGTCATGTGACAAAAACATGGCTTCTTTAAATAGATATTTTATAATACAATGTTTTGAGAGGGATTTGAAACAAATTTTTGATAGATTGATTAGTTTGAATTTTTTTTTAGTCCAAATATATCATCAAATCACCCAGTTTGTACATGGGAAGGCATCTTTAACATAGTGTTATGAGCATAAATTTATCATTTATTTTTATAGATAACAATTTAAAAACTGGTTTAAAATGGCATGTTGAATTACGTTATACATGAGGGAATTCATTTAAAATGTAGCCTAATAAAATTTGAATTAATTACTGAACTAATGTTATTGGGACCTAGAAATTGACACAAATGAGTCCCAACGCATATATTAATGTAATATGAATGTATATAAACTGATCTACATTCAATCGTTTCCGTTTTTACTCTAATTTCAAATAGGTTTTGTTTGGCGAAATACGCCAGAAATCTCAATCGAATGGCAATCTCTAGCGTCTGGTTATTTCAGTCTACACCAATAGTATTTATTGCACATGCTCTCCAGTTAAGAATATGGCGTCACCATGTGACATGACTTGTGGAATATGTCTAGCCTGGTTCTTCGAGTCGCTTGTTACGATTCGTGTACCAATGGTAAAATGTTTATTTTGTCTTAAATATTTGATATCAGAAGTCCATCTTTTCCCAGTAAGATCACATCAATGTTGATTTAAATTGACAAATAAATGGTGTTTTCAATGTTGAAGACTTTGGATGATATTGAGTTAGAGACTTCGCTACTTTAAGTTTATCTTATCTGATCTATAACAGAGCTAAAATACATGTATCATTCAGTTTGTCTAGGAAACTATAATTGCCTTGAATACTTATCATTCAAGTCAGTAGAACAAGAAATCTTTATAAAACAAAACCAGACCCCTATTTAAACAATTAAGGAAAGTCCTCTCTTAGTAATACAGTAAACTTCGCATAAGTTGGATTCTTATAAGTGAGATCTTTGCTCAACTCGGATAAAATCGTTTGGACCCTTTGATCCACTTCGGCTTTTTTTCAGAATTTGACTAAGTCAGTTTCGTCCCAAAGGTCTAAAACGCGGTTAAGTATTCCATGCACAGAGCCCCAAAATACTTTCTCCTATCATTTTTGACTCGAAACTCGTCTGCTGTATGAGACACTTTCCGGGAAAATTTAGGACATTTTTAAAAGATGGCAACAAAATGGAAGTTATCTACTCACACCAAAACGGAAGTTACCTACAGCCCAACAAAAGCTTGAAAAGTGCCTTTGAATCAATTATTATCCGGTTCTTGCAGTTTATTTCTAATCGAGCTAAGATTGAATTTCGCTAAACTCAAGATAAAATTGGTCAGTCCACTTAGATCCAACTTACGTAAAGTTTACTGTACATGAACTCTGGGTGCCTGAAGGAGCCAGGGTGAATCAGTGCATAAGGCACTGGCTCGCTAGACATGAGGTATTGGGTTCAAGCACTGTGATGGCCCAGAATATGCTCCAGGATTTTGCGGTATGGTTTCCCCGCATCAGGAGACCCTGGCAAAGGAGAGTGTCTAGTTGTTCATATGGGACAAAAAACTGAGGTCCTGTGTACACATTGGCGTGCACATTAAAGAACACTTGACAGTTGGAATTTGACGAAAGAGTAGGCTGTAACACTGCTGTCTGGGTAAAATTTCCCTTATAGTACACTGCATGGCACATGCCCATATTCATTAGCCCAGTTGGTGCAGAAGGACGTTAAACTCCATTTCATTTCCAGGTCCCTGAAAATAAATGTGTTTGCTTTGCTGTTGACTAGTGTGTATCAAGTCAACCCCAAATTTGGTCAAAAAACCCAGTATAGAAAGTTAATATATATAGTGATATATGTAGATAGTTTTGTACCATCAAGCACCCACATTAATATTCAGATATAGAAGGTGGGCTTCAAAGAACAATTACAATAGACACAGGTGAGTGGTTAGTGCCTGTCAATCTCATTGAGTAAGATTTTTTATAATCAATTATTTTTGTCATATGCTCTCAAAAATGAAGTGTTCAATCATAACAGTTCAAAATGAAGACATATCACTTAATATTGAAAATGCCTGACAGGCATATGGACTGATCAATTTTAATCTCATGATTGCTAAATCACAAAAAGATACATATCAAAGGTGTGATATTTTTCACTTGTTGACAAGTAGGGGATTTATGTACCTATAGCATGATTGAAATGATTTACTAAATTCTATGTGCTGGAGGCCATCAATGTTTACACACGACCACTTGCATACCATGTCTTAGTCGGTCACAGTTGAGTAAAATAACTTATCTCTTTACTTGATAAATACACACTATATTTATATATATCTATAGGTAATAGAGTAGATATATAGTATATTAATGTTATTTCACAGTACATGTAAATATATCATTAGCATTGGGCAATGTAAATGAAGGATTTCATAAATGTGTTAAAACTTAATCAATATAATAAAAATTCTTCTGTACTGTGATATCAGAAATGGATTAGAAACTAATTTAATCTCATACATGCAATTTCTAATATTTGTTTGGCTGTATATCATAATAATTTGTTAAATGCTATGTATAAATTGTCACTCATAGAAAGATAATTCGATATTGAATGACAAGATAGCAATCCATATCAGTTTTTAAAATACTCTATAGATGTGAAAGACGAAAATTGTTGATTTTATTTATTTTTTTTTTTTTAGCAAATATGTATGATCTGAGGTAATTAAGACAGTAATGTACAAATTGCTACATTAAAGAACTGAAGTTATCAATTAATATTTATATCTAAGTAATCTAAATTTTATTGAGTGACACGAAAATGGGGGGATGAAAGGTCCTAAGAGGACAGAGAGAGAGAGAAATGGGGGTTAACGTCCACTCGACACAACTAGGTCATTTCGGGACTAACATATGGTTTAATTTTATTTCAATAATTCACTTGCGCATAGGGGTCTTTAGCAGTGGGAGGAAACCGAAGGACCCGGAGACAACTCACGAGGTTGGACAGGCAACCCTACTCCTTGTCACGTACAACCGGGGATTCGAAACCACGCCAGTTGACTCAAAGACAGACCATTCAGCCATCCAACCCCACCCCCCCCTAAGAGGACAGACAGACAGACAGATAGATACAGATGGAGTTTAATGTCAACTGAACACAAACTAGACCATTTTAGGAATAATATATGGTACAATTATGTCAATAGACATAGATATAACCTTGGGTTTGAAACCACACCACTTGACTCAATGACAGACCTTATAGCACTTGACCACCCAATGCCCTATCCTCAGAGGAGAATGAGATAATTTGAACGAACATGAAACAGCTTGTATACCCTTTACTCTACCTCCCAGATTCGAATGCCATCAACTAATGGCCTACATACATTATACCCTACCCATCAATTTGTATATATCAATATCATAAAATATCATATAGGACTACTAATAAAAGTGGAGTAAAGGTTGCTATCTAATAACTATTTTATTTGATGCTAAAGATCATGTTTTTTTTTACAATTACACACTCATATCTGTACTAGCCATAAAACACATGCACTTATTTTCATAAGCTACCATATAAAAATCTTGAACAAGGTCAGTTGTTCTATAATAAGATTGCATTTTTATCATCCTTCAATGAAACTGTTCATTAAAAATGTGACTTTCCCTCAAATATCCATTTGATATACATCAGTAAAGAAACATAAAGTAAATGAAATGATCGCAAGTGCTTCGAAAAATATAATAAAAGTTTTCTATGCACTAATAATTCTAAAGCATGAATGAAAGACTGGTATTTGAAGGACATATTGTTAAAAATATGATCAGTAGGCCTATTCCTATTTATTCATTTAAAATATGGACAAATTGCAATAAAATATATGAGTGTTTTTTAACTTGAAATGACAAAAAAAAATTCTTCTGCACTGTGATATTATAAAGGATTAGCCTTGTAAACAAACTTAATCACATACATGTATTTTTTTTTTTTTTTAAACTGGGACATTCTAATGTTTGTCTGGCTTTATATTATAATAATTTGTTATGGGCAGAACATTCGAGACTAAAAGGCAAACATATACAAATTAAAAGGCAGTCTTATTAGAAACCATTTTAAAGTTGTAGCCATAAAAATTCACTTCACTTTGTATTAATTTTCAGCCATCATCTTGTCTGTCTTAGATTGGTCAATCACTGACTGAAGAATATTTCAATTTTATTCATGAACACTGATG